TGTTCACGTGTATAAAATTATTGCTTAGAATTCTACAAAATTAAATCATCAGAGGTATTTTTCGTATTTCCAACTGTTCTCAAATTGTATGTTAAAACAATATAAGAAAATGAGAAAATAATCTCTGAAGCGTCGTACGTATTACAGTCAGGTTTCTTCGACATTCGAAAATGCCAGGGTAACTAGCACAATTGCTGCGACATATTCGAAGGATAATTGAGTCAAGTATCCACTTGAGCTCCATATATGCGGCGGATTACCTCGATTACAATTTCGCGGACGAGCATTTGCTAATTTCTAATTTCACTCATCGCCACTCGTATTTCAAACTCTTTTGTTAACCGCTGATTCGACGAGAAATATCGTTTGGCCGGCAATAAAGTTTGCGCCGTGGGGCTGATAAAGCGCGCGGCACACATACCAGGACGGTCGTAGCGCGGCTTCTATATTTTTCTCCTCGGCGTGACGACATTTTTCAAAAGGCGCGGATATCATCGGGGACCATCTAAATCATCCTGGCGCGCGCTCGAGCACGATGCACCCTATGCTCGGCCTTTGCAAACACGCCGCCCCTTTAACTGACCGCCCGGTGGAAAATACACCGAGCCTGTGTTGGGAAACCAGTGATTTTCGTTAGTGCTTGTTCATCGAAAAAAAGTCGGACGAAAAAAAAAGAGCGAAACGGTAGTGGCGGTGGGGAGGGAGGTCCGTGCACAGGTCAGGAGGGTGGTGATGGCGGAAGCGGTGTGCGGAGACACACGGGTTGGTGGACACATACGTGGATTACCGAATGTACGAGTGGACCACGCGTGGTTCTCCGAGATTAGCCTCGGCTTTATATTGGGATTACATATGTAAAACCATTAGGTTAAATCATTTTTTAAATAAACGTATCCTATCCCCTTTCGCTGGTGGCCGAGCCGGCGCCGGGACAGATACGAGACCGGCCTGCGACAGCCCTCCCCGAGCCAGAGGGTGAGAGACGGCACCGTGCGTGCCGTTGAAATATTCCGTAGCACGTACGGCACGCGCTTCCGGATCTCTTTCTCTCTCTTTCTCCACCTCTCTTGCCCGTGATTTTGTTAAAATATTCTTGAGGAACAATTTCAACGACTTCTTAATGTCGTTGCATTTTGAATCCAGCAAAACTATTGTGCAAACAAATTACATGGCTAAAATTAAAATTAAGTACAAATAAATTTTTTGTTCTTTTTTTTGTGAATCGACGATATTGATATTGATTTTTTCGGCGACAGTGTCTGCAAACGTGGCAAGGATCAGAAAGTGGAATCAGCCCTCGAAAGAGGACACAGCATTAGGGGTTTACGAGGTGAATACTCAAGGGACGATTTGGAGGAACGTTCGTAGGAAGTGGAGTGGTTGGATGACGAGGGCAGGGGTTAGGTAGCGCGAGAGGTGAAAATTATTCATAAACATAGGCCGGTTCGCGAGACGCGATGAGGGCGAGGGAGAGGGACAGGAAGCGGGGTGCAGAGCTCTCTCTCCGGTGGTGTGTCGCCCACAGAGACCGAAGCTGAAATCTACCGAATATTAAGGTAGGGAAGGTCCTCCTAGACCGTATAATAAACACATAACGGTAATCCTTAAAACAATAATTAGCCGCGAGAGCCAACCAACATGCGACGATCTTCCGGTTGCGCACGAAATAACGCGGCGCGCTGGTTCCGTAGTCCGTTTACCGAATTAATACCGACCCGCGATTCGCGACGCTACGCCGAGACTTACGTACTTACTTCGATCAAACTTATAAGCACAACCTTACTTCTTTTTGTAAGGATTATCCCACTGAGAGTTTGCATCGTGAAAAGGCAAAGTGTTATGGGGAATTTTAAGCAGTCACGTACCGAAGTTTCGAATTTATGATTTATGAACGGATGTGCAATGTACATGTATATACTTATTGTTTTTGTTATCATTCCCATGAGCGTATTTGGTTTAAGCATGTTTTTTTTTATCATCCATTAAACTTTACATGATATACGTTTGGAATGATGGTTCGAAAAATTACAGTAAATAAATTTGGTATGTTACATTGTGCAGAAAACTAATCGATGAAAAATTTATTATTACAATTTCGTTACGGATAGGCCAAGATCAATTTAGGATCTCATTGGTAGAGGTCGAATTAAGTGCAGAACGAAGAAGAGAGAAAGAGAAAGTAGCCGGTTTCGGTGGCGGATACCGAAGAGTGGAGGCGGCGCGAAGTGGTAATAGTTTTAATCCGGTGTCTTGAAGTCGGGATTTGGTAGCGTAGCAGTTAGTGGCTGCTGGTAAGTCCAAGCGAACCCACTTCGCGCTCTGATATCATAATCCGAATAATCACTATTATTGCCGGCATTTGCTTAATCCAAAGCTCGGTCGCTCGCGCGCTCGTGGTTCCACGCTTCGGAGCTTGTGATCTGTTGGCCGATGAGAACACCGAGAGATGGTATTTTGTATCGAAACTATTTCAGAGTGTTCAAAAACTTTTTCATAATAATAATACTAATGAGTTACGTATAAAGTCAGATATTTATCTGAAACCAATTCTTAACTGAACTGAGATTTTAAGAGAAAATTTATCTAATTATTCAATATCATAAATATGATTAAAGTACTATTTTTTCAAAGTTATTGCGGACACATCCCGTTGTTTATATTTTATTATTTCATTTTTCCCCAAGGATTAAGATCGGAATTTACCTGAAGAGTATACATGCATTCAAGTTGGTTTTATAGGTCTCTAGAAAGTTGAAATCACATTTTATATCTGATCTTAACACGAGCGTGTTCTATGGTAGGGGCAGGTCTAAATTTTTGATTCTTTGCGAGTAAATATCTGTCCGCAGTGCCGGAAGTTTCGCGAGCAATAATACATAAACTTCATTTAGCTCTGTTTAAGCCGGCTGGAGGGAAGAAGACATTAAATCCCCGAGATTCGTTCTAATGGCCGCGACTCTTACAAACTGTTCCGCGGTTCTTTTGGGCCGTACATTCAACGGGCGTAGGTGTGCGTGCGTTCTTATAAATCCCCTTGAATCCGACCTAGTCGGGTAGATACCAAGGTAGATAGGATCGCTTAAGTGAAATAACGAAAAAACTTCAGCGTAAACTGTCGCTTTTAATTTGACCAGTTTGTTTAGCTTGGCCTCGCGGTTCACAGGGCTAAACGTTTCGTGCGTTTCCGGAAAAACTTTGGAATTATGAATTAGCGGGAAGTCGGCAGGAAGATAGTGCATTCCGGGCTGGACTTATTATGAAATTATAATGCAAAAGACAACTTGGAGCGAAAGGGCACCCGTTTAATTAAGTAGCATCGCCGTTCATCGTAATTCAAATTAACTAGGATCTTCCTTCCGTTCGTTCCTCGTGGTATCTTCAGTCGGTCTTGTTCAACCTTTCGTTTGTGATACAGATTTAAGATGTAGAGATAATATGAGAGTATTAATAAAAATATTAACAATTCACTGTATCTTATTAGCCTGGCACACAAATAACTTTTACTGTAATAAGGAATTGTACTTCGTGATTAAAACAAAATTTGTATTATAGTTAATTTCAAATATTTTTTTAACGTGATGCTAAAATGTTATTTGATGAAAACTTACATCTCAAGATACTTCCCAAATTGTATACGAAAAGTTTTATTCTGTTCAGACCTGAGAAGTGGATTACAAACGGCATGTCGAAACCGCTGTTTTGAGGGTGGGAGCGCTTTCATCGGCTCCCAAGCTGATAAGCCAAGCATGGAGTGGAGACCGGAGAGTTGCAAAGTAGCAGAGAAATGATAATATGATACTATGATAATAATGACACTATATATGTGTGTCTGTAATGTATCTACTATTAGTGTCGTTTGACATATATCCGTTGTTGTTCTTCTATTATGGTCTCGCTAGCACATTCTACTGTTAACTTTTACCCATATTACACGCTCGACTGACTAGAAACTTCTGACTTCTAAGAGACCCGGTTCCGATCGGTGGCCATACATATTCGATGACTATTACATTTCGACGAGAACTTTGAATGCGCTCATTCACGTATCATTTGCTTACTACTCGAACGACCTTCCGTTCGACCGCGAGGTCGAACTACTACAGACGAAGTCGTAGTTATAAAGCGGCTTCTGTAGTCAATGAGTGCATGCCGACTCGCCATATGTAGTATCTAGTATCTACGATCAACCGCGATCGTCACGAGCAAAGGTGCTCTTCGGGGCGCTCACGTGGACATGCTTGGATTAGAGCTACCATTAAGTAGAATAACCTCAGTATAAGACAGACGTAGCATAGTCCAATAGCCTTCAAACTAATAGCAAAGGTAGACGTATCGGAAAAAACATGTAGGAATGCGAGGCATAACCTTGAATTGCTAAGCTAATTGCGCGAGGTTCTAATCACCCCAAAGATTAGACAGGAGAACGAGAAGATGTCACGACAGAGGCGGCACGACGCGAGGCGGAGGGTAATGTTACGCGAGGCGCAGTAGTCTCGGTGGCATGTGTCGTTGATGAGGCGGTTAGTATTCAGCGGTGCTTTCCGGGCCTGGAACTTTTGAAAACTAACCGAGTAAAGCCATCTTAATTCCATAAGAGGGAGGCCAAAGGGGTTCGGGCGTCATCGTAACACCCTCTTAATTACAGGATATTAGGACGCCCACAGGAGCCGCGGAGGTGCAGGAAGCCAGATAGTGCGATTTATTATTCACGGTCTACCTTATCTCGCTTTTTAGAAACCGGATTTCTTGTCTCTGTAAACTTTCCCGTTCTCGGAGATTGATTTCGTCCCTGTATCACTTTTTCATTCAACTATTTATGATCGCTGAATGTACGCATTAATGTCAGATGACAACGCACGTGTCCATTAATTTGAATTTTCAAAAAACGTACGATATATAGTATAGCGATATAAGAAGATATGTCACAACTGTTAGAAAGATATCCAACTCAGTTGCAAAATAATAAAATTTAAGTAATGTTGGTTCTATGTATGACTCACATGCAGAGTATTTCTTCTTTTCCACCTTGGAACGTGCCATCCTTGCCCCAACGTTTGGGAAGTTCCATTATCACTAAACCCAGATTTCCCCATAGTACCAGTTGCGTGCTAGTTTCGTTGATTAATAGATTTTTTATTTCGAAGATCGGAGCGTCGGTTGGCCGAAGTTTCTGCAAGGAAAGAAATATAAATAATAATTACGATTGCGTGTATAATCAAAGCTACAACTTGCAAATTAATCAAATGATCATACATTATGTTTGTCATAAATTTAATAGTTACATTATCATAAAATATTTGTGATCGGTTTTATAGTTGTTGGGATACAGCATAAACGATAAGTATGATTGGATAAAAGTTTCATTTGTATCCCACGGCATTACAATTTTAATTTTCGACCGTAACGAGATATTCCGACGGCCCCTAATATTACGCTTTCACCCTCGCCGCGCATCGTCTATCGATTAATAAACTTTATAATACGATCCTGCTCCTCGTTTGTTTTCCAGTTTGATTTTTATCACGGCAGTACGGGAAAAGGGCAGGTGCACGACGAGCCTCCTTTCCCCTACCGTCACCCTCACTGCCGGGATTTCTCTTTAACATCCCCCGCCTCGTTCCCAGCTACCCTCTTTCGCCTCGATATTTAATTTCGAACTAAGTTCGCGAACGCGAACATCATTACAAGGTCGGCATCCCTGTAGGTAGGGTATCGGCGCGTATCAAGAGGCAATTATTTTTTTACCCGAGGCTAGTTTCAGCCAAGGCATGGGTAGAACAGGATTCGATGCTATCCAGCATAATTCTTCAACCATCCAATCACAGCGACGTGTGTTAAGAAAAACTGACTGAATGCGATTGCGATGATATTAAAAACAAACATTTTGAGGAACTGGAAATTATTTTTTTACGCGGTATATAAGAAGAAAATTCAGACGAGTTATAAACCAAGTACGCAGTTGTAGCCTAATATTAATATAAAATGCTTGCTGCTTCTGATAATAAACTTTCACTTATAATTACACCGTATTAATTATGTTTCGTTGCTTCGTATTACAAACCGTCTCAGTAATGAAATCGTTTTTCAATTAAATCGCTGTTGATGATTCCTTGCTACGTGTCTGATTTGTCAGAGTAGGAAGTGCGAAGCTGAGTGTAGCATAGCATTAAGGACAGAGAGACAGAAGAGAGAGAGAGAGAGAGAGAGAGAGAGAGAGAGAGAGAGGAGGGGGGACTGGTGCGTTTAAAAGTTTTCTTCTCATTAAGACTTTTTCTCCGGTGGCCTCAGTAGTATGCAACCAATGCAAGAAGGAGAAAGAGGAAAAGATCCACCCCCGGTTCCTTTCTCTCCCGCAGTTAGAAACACATTTATTAACAGCAGCTCATCTCATCCCGCTGTTAAGTACCAGTAAGAGAGTGCACGTACCCTTCCTTATCCTCTCAGCGAGAGTTCTCATTCACTTTGGTAGCTGTCTGCTGTTCCGTCCGGGGAAGGACGGGGGACGGAGAAGAAAAAAGACGTCACATCGTCGACGCCTTATTAATTCGGAAGACGAGGCTGCAGGAGGGACGAAGGTGAGAGTCGCGAAAGAGCCCTTTGAAGAAATTAAAGGAACAGAGGGTATAATGTGAACACATCCATTCCCTGACCCTCTTTTCTCTCTTCTTCTCCTACTGACGTATCTCTTTATCATCTTCTGTCTCAGTCGACACCATTAACATCCACTACTTCACGCTCTCGCTAAATGCCAGTCAGATAGACGTCTTGAGTCTCGTCACGGTTTCTTAAAATCCGGCGTACACATTTGTTCACGATTCTTTGTTTTCGTTGCTCTTCGTCTTTTCGTTGCCTTCCTTTCGTTCGCGGATTCTCTGCCCGTTACCTTTCAACTTTAATGCGGGTTGCCGTTCCAAAACGAGATTGCGCGCTAGAATCCGGAAAACGTTTGCGGCGAATCCGATGAAAGATAGAACAGCGGGCAATGGGGATGGTTTGCAGCGATACTGAAGTGCTCGTGTGCTCGACACTGAACTATCTTCAATGTTTGTTGCATTAAAACAAATCTACTATATCTTATACTTAAATAGAAACTTCTGATGTTTGTGAATTTTGCAAACATGCAAGGCATATTGCGACAGGCGTAAAGGGACATTGTTCAGCGTAACAAGAAACCGTCGGATTTTGGTGCAATGAAAAAGGGAAATATAGCAATCCCGCATAGCCATAACGTGAGCCAGTTGCCCGAGCAAAGATGGTAAACGAGGACGTTAGCCGAATAATGCAAAACAAACCTCATCTGAGATATAGTCTGGCATTTGTCCATATTAAGGAGCGCCATAAGACTGTCCGTGTTTTCGTTTCTCGCACGTATGCGTGTCGTTGCGTACGTTTTGAAATGATATGTATAGTGAGAGCATCAGTCGTTGTTAGTCAGACCCTGCCGCATTCCGGTGTTAACTATGTGTATCTTGAGCACCCGTTACGTTGCAATTTATCAACAGAGTTCCTTCATAGGCGTTACTTTCCGCGTTAAGGTGCACAGCTTCGTGCGCAATATTTCAGTTCGTTGTAACATATCGTCCCCGAATCCGTTGCTGCTTAATAAGGGATTATTCTCTTAGCAGACTAATTAGTGAATATGTCGTATGAAATGAAAGGAAATCATTCCTATTCTCTCTTTGTCAATTGGAAATTTAGTATTTGATTTTATAGTAATGATATAATAACGGGAGATCGATATGTACATTCGTTTGACCAAGGAAATTCCGACTTGTCGTTGTCTTGCAGACTTACATCACAGCCGACGTGACGCACGCAACTTTATATTAAGCCTAAGTTCTAAACTAATAAGACAACAGTCACGGTGGGGACGATCAGGGAAAAGGGGTAACGTGACGCAAGAAGGGTCTAAGTTTCGCTGTGTACCTACGAAGCGGGTCACCGATTACGACGTCGATCGTCTAGGAGAGAGAACCAAATTGGATAAGTTCAAGCAGCTTCTTCAGTTTCTACTTAAACCATTACTCTCCAAGAATTTCAATTAGCTATGATTTTCGAATTTACAAATCCTTCAGGCATTTTGGAACAAGTTCTGTTCTATTACGAACCTTCACGAAGTGCTAGAATTTTCTTGATGATCCTCGCGTGTGGGATAAATCAACAAGTTGCTCTATCAATTTCTTTTCTTGATCTTGTTTCTTAAGAAGATACACTTCATTTAAATTATTGTTATAAAAGATTCAAGTTTCATAATAATTAAACTAAAAATATTTTTTATACTTGCGCTCAAGAAGTGTTACATTTGGAGAAATTTATCCTGATAAATACAAAATTAACAGATTCATTTCTCATTTTACTTTCTGATTTGATTGAATCGTAAAAGTAATTAAAAACCGATGAACGATGCAACGATCAATTGTTGAATGATAATTTGAGTGTCAACGATATATCTTCAGACTGTTTAATTTTTTAAGTAAAACAGGATGGTCTGTCGCAGACAAAAATCGACGTCAGAAAAGGGTAGCAAGTAACGTCGAATATACAGGACGTTTTCAGGGTGAAAAAGCTGGAGAGAGGCCCGTTAGGTGGTCGACGTCGGGTGTAAATTTGCATTGAACGAAATGAGGCGCTATGGGGCATTCCAGTCCGAAGTTAATAGCTTCCCAACGATTAACTGTATCTCCCCACCCACTACGTCTACCCGACCTCTTCCTCTCTTTCCCTGTGACCGTTCATTCGACGCGTCGTCTCTACTCGTTCTGTCTCTTTCCTCATCGGATCTCAACCCCTTCCTCCCTCGCTCCTCTCTTTCTCGCTACATACGCTTCTTCCCCTTCATCGCGCGCGTCACATCGTACTTACCTATAACATCCCTTCTGATAATCTATGTCCCAAAGGTTGCAAAATAATTGACTCCGTCGTGTCGCCAATTCGATTGACTGCTCCACGTTTTCGGTGGTTCATAAACGTATATCAATCCTCCTGATGTTTGTAGTCACCCTTACAAAATTGACGAAGTTTGTATCGACATGTGTATAAAAAGTTTGATATTACTCGGTTGTAAGAATCGCGTGCAGTCAGTAGGTGCAAAAGGCAGGGTCTACCGCGGGCGTAGCCAATAGTTTCCAGGCACGAAAGGCGCCACGGGGGTTATAGGGCATAATTTAGTGGACAGTTTGATATACAAACAATCTTTAATGAAATTCTTGGTGTTCATTAATAACGCATTACAGCCTCGTGCGGCACTGGCGCCGGTGTCGGCATCGGTACCCGGGAATCCTGTGCCCTCATCCCTCCTTTTACTCCTCATACTCCGTTTTCCTAGTTACCCTCCTACCTTCCATCGCAACGTTCTCCGACACCCTTGTTCCCATTTTCATCTGACTTCCACTCACTCTTCAATACGTAAGTTTTGACACATTTTGTTTACAAGGTGTATTATAGCTCACGTTGCCATAATTAAAGTACGTTAAATGCAATATAGCATGCTTTCAAATATCTTTAATATGATCGTTGACAGAACTCATAATAGTAAAAGAAAAACTTGTCAAATTCAATCATGTCAGAAGAAGAGTTTTATATTTGGTGTGGAACGATGTCAGCGATAATGTACATGGGACACGTAAGAAACGCGAGAATCCAAACAAAATGACAAGCGATTAATCCCTCGCCGCCGATGGGACAGTGACGAAGGCTAATAGGCTTTCCGGTGCAACGGTGAAACAGCAGTTCGTTTTAGGGTGGACGATACCGGCGGCTACGGTTAATGAATCGACGTAATCACGGATGTAGGAGGGAAGGGGGTCAAGCGACGAATGACAATCGAGTTTTGTATTAATGTCCGACAACGCCGCACCCATGGTCCCTGTGCGGGGCATACCTACGATACTCGCCATCAGCCTGATCGTTCGTTTAATCAACCGAGCCGCTAACACGATTAACTTATTGCGTATTCTCGTCATTCCGTACACGTGAGACACGAATCAGCGATACACAAACGTAATACCCATTACGGTATCGCCGGACACAGTTGCTTTTGTTTCTTCCTCTTTGTCTGTTTACCCACTTGTCGCGTTGCGTTACGTGTGACAGTTCTTTCCGACGAATCATTGGGTGGGTTCCTTGGATGATTTGATCAAACCATTTGGCTATTTT